GGTATAAAATAACAAAATATTACAAATAGTGGTAAATACTGATTATTCGAATTTTGATTAGAACCTAGACGTAATATTATTTGAACAATTCGGTTTGAAAAGAGGAAGTGTTGTTCGAAAAACTTTACATCTCTCGAAGCCATTATGAAATAACTAAAGTTTCTTCAAGTGATGTAAAGAATCTAATCCCCACTCTTACTTACACGTCAATTTTAATAGCAATTTATTATAATTATGTGGAAGAGTATGGTAAATAGGGTAGTAGAAAATTGCATGTGAAAATAATTAAACCTATAGAATGTAAGATAGAAATATACTTTGTCAATATCCGATACTTTGTAATAATGAAATTTGTAAGACTTAAGTACGAAAACAGGTGGTTTTTTCTCAACAATTAAACGAAGGGTGTTATTCCCTAGATTTTCAATGTCTAAGGACATGCGCAGAAGGGTTCATTGATTGAAATCTTGCTCAGTTGCTCTCTGACCACGGTCTAAGTCGAATGCTTTTGATTGAGCTAACATTTTGCAATAACAGTTACAATAGTTTAAAACTTTTATTAGAAGCAAATAAATTGTTTAAACTGTTAAGAATAAGGTGTTAAATCCTTTCAATGATAGTGTCTAATAAATTTTGTATACTTGTGAGTTTAATCTGATTTTATTTCTGTCATAAATACTGCACACTTTAATCACATTATTACTATTTGATCTTTTTTTATACACAGAATAACTAATTATATTTAAATAACAATATTATATTAAGTAACATGTACATCAATCATTTGGATTTTGATTAGGACGTGTACTAACGTTACTCTTGATTAATGGTGAGTAAAACTTGTTTAAGAATAAACAAACAAATTGTTAGAAGAATAAGTAGATAATACTTGATCTATTTTTTTTTTTAAAGTATAGTGTAAATATATCTATAATTATTATAACATTAAACGTTTAACAAGTAATATAATTTTCCATTTGGGTTTTTATATATATATATATAACTGAATTAAGTTGCACTGGAATAAACAGTAGCAAATGAAAATGCTTTTCTCATAATCTAAAAAAAAATAATATTAATAATAATATAAAATAGATATTATATATTGTATATAAAATAAAATTAGAATTGAATTATTTATTTTTAATTACCCCAGCAAAAACTTCATTCGACGAGACGAACATTCCACCGATTGATAGACCACTTTGTTTCATACTTCTTGTTATAATAAATAATAACAATTTTTGTGATTTTACGGATAATTTATAAAACGGTGCTGTACGCCTGAAACAATTAAATAATCATTTTATTTATTAATAATAATAATAATAATAATAATAAATATTTTATTTAATCACAGCTCACGATATTATCGAATGTTTCTATATTAATTGTTCAGTTAAAAAAAAAAAAAAAAAAAAAAAATTAAAGTCGTCTTACAATTCCTCGTAAGTTTCGTTGCTATGATTCAATAATTTTTGTCCAATATAAAAATTAAGATATAATAGAAGAATCGATGCAGCAACTATAAAACTACATTCTATCGTATCTCCAGTACTTTGTAATATTTCTGACATTCGGAAAATCTAAACAAATAATAATACAAATATATATTTAAATATAATCTTTCGTATAAAATAAATTGACAGGATAAATTAATTAATATTCATCGATAAACTTATATATATATACATTTTTGCTACTTAATAATTGTATGAAAATAAAAAAAGAAATATTTTAAACCATTCTTACATAAATTATCATTCTATTAATAAAAAAAATAAGATCAATCATCGAAAGAAACTTGTTTTTTTTTGTGTGTGTGCAATACTCAAAAAGATAAAATGATAAATGAAAAATGAGAAATATTGTGTGTGTGTGTGTATGTAAGTGTATAATAATAAGTAATTACTTACGTAAAAGAAATCAAAAATAACGAAGATCATTGCAAAAACAACATCAATTAGATAAACGATATTGGAATATTTATTTAATAAATCAATGTACCTTAAAATAAAAAAAAGATAGATAAATGTTATTTAGATAAAAAAAAAAAAAATAAAAAAGTGTGCATGGATGCGATCAAAGAAAAAAAAAAAACAAACAAAAATAATTATTTCTCACTAACTCCGTGACTTGTTTGTAATTTTTTATAATATCAATAATCCAATCATGTTCTTTCCACGTTATAGTCTCATTTAAAACTGTCTCCGTATATTCTTCTTTTTTTATCGATAATTTTTGTACCTTCAATCTATAAACAACATGATTACAAAACATATCTATAATAATAATTAAATAAACATTATTTGAACACACAGTGGTTATTAAATTTTCATTTTAAATCATAAGTTTCTTATAACTACAAAGTTTTGAATGAAAAAAAAAAAATAATAATAATAAAAGGTTGACAAATTTTGGAACTTTATGATTTTCATATTTACAAATAGTGTGAAAGTTTCAAAAACAAATGTGTATTTTAACAAGGTTGTATTAAATTCTTATACCAATTGAATAAATATAATCTTATAAAAACCACTGTGTGTTAACAAATACAACAAATATACCTTTTTAACTAAACACCTACATTATAATACTGAATTGATAACATGCGTGTTGTACGAATACCAAATATGTTACGTAATAAACAGTCCCTATTATCATTGCAACTGAACAGCCTATTGTTTGGTAAATAAACAAAATGAAAAAAAATGTTCCAGGTCTTGGAACATTATTTACAGGTGCGACCAGTGTTAATTTATTGCCATCCAGTATACCAAAAAGATAAAGAATAATATTTAAAATACTCGGTGATACAATCGATATAAAATAAAGACTGAAGACAACTGTAACAATAAAAAATTAAAATAAAAAAAAGGAAAAAAAAATTGAATTTAACTTTGGAATATCGAATTTTTATAATAATTAATTAATAATTAATTAATATATATATATAAACATATTCGTACTTACATATAATACCGTAACAATATAATTTAATTTGTCTCGTGTATTTTTCCATAATATTTAATTCCTCGTCGTTGGACAAATGTTCGCAGTCTGTTTTAAATGTATTGAAAAGTAATCTCATCTGTAAGATAAAAATAAAAAATAAAAAAAGTAGAGAATAATTTATTATATAATATTATTATAATATTATTTGTACTTTGTTTTTTTCTAATTATTTATTTAATAATTATACAAATTTGATTTTAATCTTATAATTAGTTATGCATTTTTTAAAAAATAATATTTGGTATCTTACATGAAAAGTAAATTGTAAAAAATGGAAATTATTCAATGTTAAACATTTAAACGATCGTCGTAAAATTAATAAAATATTAGAAAATTGTCCATAATTTTATTGAAGAACTATCCATGACTAAAAATCATGTATATTTATTTATATGTTCTCACGATTTTCAATAATAATTAATAAATAATAGAAGAGTGAATTGATCGTCGAATTGTCTTCACTTAAACTATGTTCAAAACTTTTATTATATATATATATATATATGAAACAAGTTTGAAATAGATAACATTAAAACATTAAAACAATTAAAAAAAATTAACATTAACATTAAAAAAAAACAAAAAGAAAAAATGTAAAATAATTACCAAAAGCAATTTTATTAAATTAAATAATAAAATTGGTATTTCTAAAGTCTTATTTGTTAGATAGATTAATCATTTATAAAATTTATAACAATTAAAAATAAATAGCTAAAAAATATAATAAACTTACTGTAGAAAAACTGAAATAAGTGTTAGTGTAACCGCAGATCATAAAAGTTCCCGTTAATACCTTTTGAAGTATTTTTACAGTCGTTTCCACGGAATAGTCGTATGTTGCAAGCTGATAAAACTAAAATCACATTTGAATGATTTATTATTTTTTATGTTTAAATACAAAAATATTTCTATTTACACTTAAATTCGTTGGAAGATAATAAAAATACATTATTTAACGTTACAAATAATAATGATTAAAATAATATCATGAAAATAATGATTGTAGATGAGTTAAATGATGAGTTAAATTAACCTGATGAAATAAACCAGGTATTCCATAAATAATGATTAAACTAATAACGAAAAACTGATTTTTTGAATTTTGATGTGGTAATAAGCCCATTACTAAAAGAATAAAACGATTAGAAAATAGAAAATGTTTTTGAAAAAAATTTTGACCAATGGTAGTAGACATGGTCTAGCATCTGATGCTTTCATCATCAAACTAAACAATGTTCTACGTATTTATACTTTATTACAAATTCTAATTGGTATAAATAATAGAGGATAAAAGTGTTAGGTAAAAAAGTCACATAAAATAATAACTATAATGATTTAATCAATATACTGTTAATATTTTTCAACCCTCTATCTTCAATTTACAATTGTTAACAATATTTTTTCTAATAGGGTTGAGAGATATTTGCATGTGTACATTGACAGGTGTTTGTTCCCAGTAATCAAAGTAAGGGTGCAATAACATTTACCTTTTATTTTCAATATTTATTGACATGCGCAGAATGAGGTTTTTTTTTTTTTTGTTTTATTGCAACTTAGATCAGTTGTTCTCTGACACTTGTGCAGAACAGATGTTTTAAAAATAAACAAACATATTATTGATATTTTTATAGTGTTTACTAAGTATCCTTGACTATTTTTATAATACAATTAGTTTGTAGTTGTTATATATATTATATATTATTTTATAATTAATTCTACAAATATACTAAAAGTGTATTTTTGTTTTGTTTATCGTACAAAAATAAGTGATTATTTTAATAATTTTTAATTGATTATTATCCGAATGAAAATATTTCAATGACTTCTCTTTTTGTTTGTAGTACAATCAAACACGAAACAAATAGAAAAATAAATTTTTGATTATTTCGAAATATAATACAAAGAGTTGAATTTATTTATTTTTTTTTTTTTTTTTTTAATAAAAAGAAAAATTGTTATTGTATATAATTATTAAAATTTTTTCTTTGTCCACTTGAAGTTTATTAACGACCACTGTAATACATTGTTGCGAAAGAAAATCCTTTTCGTGTGATCTAAAATAATATATATATATATATATATATATATATATATATATAAATATATATTAAGAATAGTGATGTGTTAAAAATTCAATGAAGTTTTTTATTTTTATTTAATATTATTCTTTCCTTTTTTTTATTTTTTTTTTTTCACTTACAGATGCAAAAATTTCATTAGACGACACGAAAATTCCACCGATGGAAAGACTACTTGGTTTCATGCTTCTTGTTATAGTAAGTAATAATAATTTTTGCGTTTTAATCGATAACATGTAAAATGGAATTTGACAACTAAAACAAAATAGTTTAATTTAAAAAATATATATATATATTATTTAGATATATCGTACGTGAGTTGTTGATTGAAAAAAAGAATATGAATAAAGAAAAACAAAAACATTCTTGGTAAATAAAAGTGAGTTAAAGTTCGAAACAAAAGGTTGTTTTTTAGTTTGAGTATTTTTTTTTTTTGTTTTGTTTTTTTTCTTTCTATAAAATTAAAAATGTCTTACAATTCTTCGTACGTTGCGTAACTATGATTCAACAATTTTTGTCCAATGGAAAAATTAAGGTATAGAAATAATATTGATGCACAAAAAATAAGACTGCATTCCATCGCATCTTTCGGACTTTGCAATATTTCCGAAATTCGAAACATCTAAAGAAAAAAAAAATTCAAATATTACATTGAAGAGATTACCTGAATAAATTTATAACATTTATAACAAATTTCATATATTTCATATATTCGTGTTATTTTTAATTGTATGACAAAAAAGAAAACAAGAAAAAAATCCAAATAAGATATTATACTATTTGTAGAGAAAATATTTATCATTTTTTTCTTTTTTTGCAAATCTACGATTTAATTAATCGATAATCTAAGAAAAAAGTATTAAAATGATTGAAATAAAATTGTTTAAAAATATCAAAAAAAAAAAAAATAAAAAATGATTTTTAATATGTCTTAAAAATGTAATACTTACGTAAAGAAAATCAAAGATAATGAAGATCATTCCAAAAAGTGTTCCAATTAAATAATTAGTCTTGGAAAAGTTATTAATTATATCAACGTTTCTTAAAAATATAAGCAAAATATATAATAAATATATAAATTATAGAAATATATAAAAATATATACTATAATAATATGTAAAAATATATAATATAAAATTTATATTATATTATATTATATTATTGATACAATATAATAATATGTAAAAATATAATATAAAATTTATATTGTATTATATTATTGATATAATATAAATAAATAATTTTATATATATATATATATATATATATATAAAATTAGAAAAGGTAAGAAAAATAAAAAGAAATAATTTAAATACCAACTTTAATACTCTATTGTAACATTTAATTATGTCAACGATCCAATCATATTCCTCCCAAGGTATTTTTCCATTCCTAACTAGTGTTATATATTTGTGTTTTTTTCTTTTTGGTAATTGTTGAATCTTGAATCTGCAAAAAAAAAAAAAAAAAAGAAAAAAAACAACAGAAATACTTTCAATTAAAAATTCAGAATTTTTGGTTAATGACGAATAATTATCTTGTTGTTTTGGTTTGTTTTATTTTTATTGTTATTTTTTATTGTTTTTTTTTTGTTTTTTAGATTAAAACACTTACATTATAACTTTGAATTGATAACAAATGTGTTGTACAAAAATCAAATATGTTAAATAATATAAACCACCTGTTATTAATAATACAAATCCGCCGATTATTTGATAAACGAGTAAAATATAAAAATACGTTCCTCCATTTGCAATATTATTTACCGGTAAAATTAATGTTAATTTATTAACATTTTGCATACCGAATAAATATAAAATAATATTTAAAATACTCGGTGATACAACTGATAAGAAATAAAGACTGGAAAGTACTGTAACAATAAAAAAAAAAAAAAAAAAAAAAANAAAAAAAAAAGGAAAACAAGAATATCGATTGAATGAATTTTTTTTTGTTTCTTTTTATATATATATAATCATTCCTATAAAAATCATTAATATAATTCTTACTCATAATACAATAAAAATACAATTTATTTTCTCTCCAATATTGTTTCATTATCTTCAATAATTCTTCGTTCTTGGACAATTGTTTGCAATCATATTTAAAACGATCAAAAAGTATTCTCATCTGCAAAAAAAAAAAAAGAAGAAACAATTTCTATTCTCCAGATAAAAATTATTTTATAAAAATGATATTAATGTAAAAAAAAAAAAATAAATAAAGAAAATAATACAAACTGTTAAAAAATTGAAGTAAGTGTTGCTGTAACCACTAATCAGAAAAAGTATCGTGACTATTTTCTGAAGTATTTTAATAGTCAGTTGAAGTTCGTGGTCGGACGTTAAAAGTTGATAAAACTGGAGTCAAGTACATATATTTAACGAATTCCATGTAATATATAATCTATGTATTTTTTTTTCTTTTTTTTTTTTCAATACAATTGATAATAAACATATTTCTTGTAATATATTCAGCTACATAACATTTCTATTCATACGTCACATTTATTTAAAAAAAAAAAAAAAAAACAATTACCTTAAATATATAATAATTAATATATTATAATAAATACAGAAATTTTAATAGTGATATTAAAATATATATATAAAATAATAAATAAGATATAATAGATATAAAAATAATTATTTTACATTTAAATAATTATTTCAACAATAATTATTTTATATCTGTAATAATAAATACAACAAAATATTTAATAGCGATAATAAAGAATATAAAAATAATAAATAAGATATAATAGATATTAAAATAATTATTTTACATTTAAATAATTATTTCAACGATAATTATTTTAAGATCTATCTATTTATATTAGATCTATAATATTATTATTTTTATATCTATAATAATAGATGTAAAAAAAAAAATTAATATAATAGTGATATTAAATATTTTTTTTTATTTATCATATTTACTATAGTATGTTTTTTTTTTATCTTTATTTTGCACAAAATACATTTGGAAATAAACGAACATACCTGATGAGCAATAACAGGAAATGTTGGAACTGCTACAATACTTAATAATAATAACTGATTATTAGAACTATGATCTGAACGTAAACCCAAAATTAATAAAACAAATTTATTCGAAAAAAGGAAATGTTGTTGGTCAAAATGTGGATTATTCGTAACCATAATGTGTGATATCTAGCACGTTTAACATCGAACTGAACGATGTAAACAAATCCCCACCACTACTACTTCATTGTAATACTATAATTGACATAAATTAGTGTGATGATAAAAAATTTAAGATAAAGTAATAACGTGAAAGAAAAAATGGTAAGGTAATAATTTAATCGATTGAATAATAACGTTAAAATGTTATACAAACCCCTTGTGTAAATTTCAATAGTTTAACTATAGTTGTCGATCGAACAGCTGATTGTTTTCCCATAATTAAATGAAGGGGAACAATTTACATTAGAAATACATAGGATGTTATGGGACATGCGCAGAAAAATGTGTTCTTCAAAACATTTGTCAGTCTTTATCTGACATCGGTACACAAAACACTTGCTTATAAATAAGTAAACAATTTGTTATGATATTTAGTGTTAAAAAAAAAAAAAAAAAAAAAAAAAAAAAATACATACAAATATTTCATCATAACGAAACATATTTCTATCGAGTGTTTTAAGAGTTCTGTAAAGATATGTAATAAAAATTAAATAAATGAAACAATTAAAATAGAATTACAGTTGTTAATAAGAGTTCTGTGAAGATATGTAATAAGCGTTAAATAAATAAAACAATTAAAGTAGAATTACATTTAAAAAAAAATATTAACATAAAATCTAAATTAAGTTTAGAAATTTGTTTAACAAATGTAGAAGACGGAACTTTAATGGAGATCAAAATATTTTACTACAATTATTTTGAATACAAGTAAGTAATTTATAAAATTGTTGAATATTTTACGTAATTTCTACAACAAAGTATTTCTAAATTAAATATTCTATGGAATTTTATTTGATTTATTTTAATCAATAGACTAGAAATTTTATTCAACGTTGTAGTAAACCATCGCAAAAGAGAATGCTTTACGCATTAACTAAATAAAAAAAAAAAAAAAAAAAAAAAAAAAACCATGAATAAAATAATTAATATAATATTCAATAATATTGTAATACTTACACTAGCAAATACTTCGTGAGATGAGATAAACATATTTCCGATTGATAGAAAGGAAGGTTTTCCACTTCTCATTAACATAAATAAAAGTAATTTTTGTGTATTTTTAGAAATAGTGTAAAATGGAATGTTACATCTGTAACAAAAATGTATTTTATTATTAAAACAAAATAGAAACTAAAGATTGAATTGAATTGAATTGATTCAAATTTGAGTCAATTTGATCATTGAATCAATTGAATCATTCAATGAATCATTGATTGATTCAATTCAATTTTAAATCATTGAATGATTTCAAATAATTTTTGAATAATTTCTTAATAATAGAAAAAAATTTTCTATAACATTTATAAATTAATGTTAAAGATTGTAATTGATAGTTAAATAAAAGAATTTTTTTCGTACAATTCAGCAAATACCGCATTGCTATAATTTAACAGCTTTTGTCCAAGGTAGAAATTAATATATATTGTAAAAAATGAGCCAATAACATACATGCTGAATTCAATTCTGTCTATTATATTTTTCGATAATTCAGAATATTCCATTATCTAAAATAAAAAGGAAAAATTTCAAAAAATTGCATTAGAAAAGATGAAAATAAAACATGTAGGATAAAATGAAGAGAATTTTCAAACACTTTTGTACTTTATACATAATATATATATAATATATATTTAAAACGAATTAAATACAAAAATATTATTATTATATAAAACTAATAACTTTATCAAGCAATTGTGTCCCGTGCAAAATCATTTTTTAATATAACAAATAACAAACTATAACGTGTTAGAATAATTAAATAATAAATATATATATTTCAATAAACTATATATTAATATATATTTATATAAACTACAATAAAATACACTAACTATAATACTATTACTACTACTACTACTACTACTAGAACTATAAAAACATGTCTAAGTACTTCAACAAGAAAAAAATTGTATAAAATGCATTTTTGTTAAATTGAAATAAAAAAAAAATAAAAAATACAAATATAATAATAAAAAGCATTACTTATTATTTTTGCGCAAATTACTTACGCACAAAAAATTAAAAACAGATAGAATCATTGCAAGAAAAACAACAATAAAATATGCTTCATTTGAGACGTATCTAAGCATGTCAACAAACCTTAATTAGAACAAAATCAACAAATTTATAATCATTATTAAATTTATACAAATTTATGAGAAACATAATCGACTTACTCAATACATTTTCTATGTCGATTGATAATATCGATTAACCAATTGTATTCTTCAGTTTGTGTAACAAAATATAAACACTTTCTATTGTAGTTTTGTGTTTTTTCAAATGGTTGACGAATTTTCAATCTACCATTCAAAATGAACATTTTAACGATATTCTAGAGTACATAATCAGTGCACAATTAAATAAAAAAATTACTCTATCACAAGAAACGTACTTTATAATTGTATACTGACAGCAAGCGTGTTGTATGAAAATCAAAAAAGATGAGAAAGTAATACTACCAATGACTGTTACAATAATAATAAATATTATTTGATAACTGAGAATGCTATAATATAGAACTCCAGATATATGAAATTTATTTTCAGTTAGTGGTAGAGTTAATTGATTATCTTCCAATTTGCCAATTAATAACAAAAACACATTTAAAATGCTTGGAAATATTATTGAAAAGCAATAGACATAAAAGAATACTGTAAACGTTTTTAGGATAAATTATATTGAACAAATTTAATATATTATAACATTTTAAATACTTATACCAACCCATTAAAATATATACATATAATTTACTTTGAACAGTATACTTTTGTAAAATTATTAATTCTTCGTGATCGGTAATTTCCTCGTGATCTAATTTGAAACGTGTTGTGAGAAATGCATACTAAAAAAAAAAAAAAAAAAAAAAAAAAAAAANAAAAAATACAAATATATATATTTGTAAGAATAAAGATTGATTTTTAAATTCAAAAAAAAAACAAAAAATTTAACGAACTGTATCAAAGCGAAAGAAAAAAAGACTGTAGACAGAGATGATAATAAGAATAGCTACTATTTTTTGAATTAACTTGATATTGGAATGCAGGATAAATTCGGTTGTGAAAAGTAGATACAACTAGAAAAAATGTTAATTAGTTTTACATTAGATTATTATAATTACATAATACATTAGAGATTATGAAACAACAATTTATTAATTAATAATAAATATCGTAATAATATATAAATATAAATTAGAAAAAAACAAAACACATAATAGGTAATCTCAATATTATATTTCATATAATATAAAAATATTGATATTTCCTATAATGTTTTTTTTTTTTTTTTAGAATAGTGGTAAATTGTTGTTTCATAATCTAATTCATTATATAAAATTAATTATATTCATTTATTATTATAATTAACTCTATATTATATTATTATAATAAATTTCTATGAATCAACATTGTTTAACTTAAAAAATACAATAATTCAAGTAACCACCAATAGAATCACACTTACCAATATAACAACTACTGGTAATAAATAAACTATTATAGCTGAAAATAACAACAATTGATCCTTCGAATTTCGATTAGGACGTTGATTCGTTAAAAATTGAAATAAAAAACTTGAAAAAAGAAAATGATGTTTAGCAAGATCTACATTTTTTGATGTCATGGTAAAGTATCTCACGAGATCCCACAGCAAACTGAACAAAAGTCTATCTTCTACTTGTAGCTAACTTATTCTAATTGCTTCCTACTACCAATAGTGTCAATTTGTGTAAATAAGTGTCATGATTTAAGAACTATGACATAATCGATAAAGTTACTAGTAAAAATATCCACTTACTTTACATCTTTTCAATGTATAATATGTTTTATTCAGACATACGTATGTACATGTAATTAAACAGATGGTGATTCCCATAATTAAACGAAGGGGAAAAGATACCTTTTACTGTCAATGTCCAAAGACATGCGCAGAAGGGTTGTTGGATTGCAATCTTGGTCAGTTGAATTTAGACAGTGGTGCAGTACACTTGTTTAGAAATAAGAATACTATTTCTTGTTGCAGTAAGTAAAATATATTTGTCTTTAAAATCAAGAAATAATTTGTGTTTCAAAAAATGATACGTCAGTGTATTCCTAAAAGATTAATATAAGTGATAAAAATACAAATTAGGATAAATTTATGTGAGCAAGTTTTTTAGTTAATTAATGAGATAATAATAAACTACTATCGAGTTTATGAAATAAAAATAAATAAATAATAATTTATTATGCTTGGTACAAATTATTATACTATTTTTTCTAATTGTATCACAGAAGCTTCAAATTATTGTGAATTGTAGTAGACCATTGCAAAGGAAAATGCTCTTTGTATTAACTAAAAAAAAAAAAATAATTAATTAGAATACACAATTTAATATCTAATTATAATTTAATACTTACCCTGGCAAAAACTTCGTGCGATGAGACGAACATATTTCCAATTGATAGAAAACTCGGTTTTCCACTTCTAGTTATCATAAATAAAAGTAATTTTTGTGTATTTATAGAAAGAGTATAAAACGGAACGTTACATCTGTAACAAAAGTGTATTAGCTATTAAACACATATGAAGTCAGGATTAAAGAATTTAAAACTACTTTCAGAGTTTGTATTATTGCTAGATGTAACAGTAATTAAATTCATTATAGAATTAACAAATTTTAAAAAGTATAGCAAAATTGCTTGTTAATTAAAATAACTCTTTTCTTACAATTCTACAAATACCGCATTACTATGATTTAACAGTTGTTGTCCGAGGTAGAATTTAATATATATTGTAATAAATGAGCAAATAACATTCATACGGAGTTCAATTCTGTCCATTGCAGTTTCCGCTAATTTAGAATATTGGAAGATCTAAAGGAATGCGATAAAATTAAAAAATTACATTTACAAAATGCAAAAATAAATATAGTTTAGAAAATTATGTTTCCTTATCAAAATTATTTCAATACGAAATGATATCAATTACTTCTTGAAAAAAGAACTTTCTAATATTCTTGCACTTTCTACGTAATATATATATAATTCATATATATTACGTAGAAAGTGCAAAATTGTTAGAATATATATATATATATATATATATGCATTCTTGTCAAATAAAAATAAAAAAAGATATACATATAATAATAAAAAACATTATCTATTTATTAATTCTGCGCAAACTACTTACGCACAAAAAATTAAAAACAACGAGAATCATTGCAAGAAAAACAACAACAAAATATGCTTCATTTGAGACGTATCTAAGCATTTCAATAAACCTTAAGTAAAACAAATTAAAAAATTGTATAGTTATTATTAAAATTAATTCAAATTTGAGTAAAAACATAATCGACTTACTCAATAGATTTTTGATGTCGATTGATAATATCTATTATCCAATTGTATTCATCAGTTTGTGTAACAAAGTATAAACACTTTCTATTGTAATTGTTATTTCTCTCAAATGGTTGACGAATTTTTAATCTGCAATTCGGAGAAAATAATTTAACAAAATAATTCAATACATAATCATTTATCAAGTAAATAAAGAATTACATAATAACATAAAACTTACATTATAATTGTATATTGACAGCAAGCGTGATGTATGAGAATAAAAAAAGCTAAGACAGTAAAACTTCCAATTGTAGTTATAAAAATAATTAGAAATATTTGATAACTGAGCATGCTATAAAATACAAATCCATATTTAAAGGATCTTTCCTCACTAAGTGGAAGCGTTAATTGGTTATCCTCCAGTTTGCCAATAAATAGTAAAAACAAATTAAAAATGCTTGGAAATATTATTGAAAAGCAATAAAAGTAAAAGAAAACTGTAAACATTTACAATAATTTTATTTGCAAAAGTTTGATATTACAATTATTTGTTTAAAACTACTTATACCTACCCATTATAGTATTCACAAATAATTTACTTTGAACTGTATACTTTCTTAAAATGTATAGTTCTTCGAGATTAGTGATTTGTTCGCATTCTAATTTTAAACGTCGTGTAAGTATTTGCCACTAAAAGAATTTAAAATATATATTTCTCTTATAAGAATAAAGGTTTTTCACTAATTGAAAAATAAATTTCAACGAACTGTTTCAAAGCAAAAGTAGAAAGTACTGTAAATACAGATAACAATAATAATTCCAAGTAATTTTTGCATAAATTTAATAGTTGAATGCAGGGTAAATTTGGTTATGAAAAACGAATACAGCAAGAAAAATTGTTAATTGATTTCCATCAGATTATTATAACTGTACAATACGTTATGGTTTATAAAACAACAGTTTACCACAATGAAGAAAAAAAGTAATAAGTCTATAAATTACAATTCACTAAATGCAATAAAATTAATGAAATATGTAACATCATTATTAATTCACTATAAAATGTAATAATCACGTACACATTCACAAAAATAACTTTTACCTCTACAATAAAATAAGGTAAAAGGTAGGTAATAATAGCTGCTAATAACAACAACTGATCCCTCGAGTTTCGATTAGGACGTTGATTCATAAAAAAATGAAATATAGGACTAGAAAAAAGAAAATGTTTTTCCGCGAAGTTATGATCTTTCAAATTCATAGTAAAGTATCCCACGAAATCCCCCAGGAAACTGAACTAAAGTCTATCTCCTGCTTGCAGCTAATTTATTCAAATTATTATCTACTACAAATCGTGTAAATATACGTAAATAAGTGATATTGTTAAAGAACTACAATGTCAATGTACATTGTTTTTTATCAAGATATACCTGTTCACGTGTATTAACACAGATGGTGATTCCCATAATTAAACGAGGGGAGAAAAAATACCTT